CTTTTTCTGGGACCAGGCTACATAGTTACATTGTATCCAAATCAACCCTGAACAAAGGACTGATACTGAAGCTCATGCTCCAATACTTTGGCCACCTGATGTGAAGAGCTGACTCATTGGAAAAGATCCTGATGCTGCGGAAGATTGAAGGTCAAAAGAGAAGGGGATGGCAGAGGATGAGATGGTTAGATAGCATCACCAACTCAATGGACGTAAGTTTGAGCAAACTCTAGGAGATGGTGAAGGACAGGGGAGCCTGGTGTGCTGCAGCCCTTGGGGCTGCAAAGAGTCGGACATGACTGAGCGACTGAACAGCAACCGAAACCACCTATCTTGGTTTGAGCTGCTGTAAACAGAACACCATAGTCTGGGTGGCATATAAATGACAAACACTTATTTCTCATGGTTCTGGAGGCTGAAAGTCCAAGAGCAGGGTGCCAACATGGCTGGGTGGTGGAGGCTATCTTCAGGGCTGCAGACGGCCAACTTGTATTCTCATGTGGCAGAGAGAACCGCAAGCTCATTGATTTCTTACAAGGACACTAATCCTACCTACAAAGTGCCAGCCTCATGGCCTAATCACCCCAAAGGCCCACTTCCTAGAACCAGCACACTGGGGGCTAGGGCTCAATGTATGAATTGGAGGAGAGGACACAAAGCTCAGTTCATAACTGTACATATCCATCTATCTATCTATTCACCATCTATCTACCTATCTGTCTATCTATCTACCTGGTTATCTATCTATTTACCTGTCTATCTATCTATCTATCTATCTATCTACTATCAGACAGATTGAAGGCAGGAGGAGAAGGGGATGACAGAGGATGAGGTGGTTGGATGGCATCACTGACTCGATGGACATGAGTTTGAGGCACGCTCCGGGAGTTGGTGATGGACAGGGAGGCCTGGCGTGCTGCTGTCCACGGTGTTGCAAAGAGTCAGACACGACTGAGTGAATGAACTGAACTGATCTACTATATATCTATCTACTTGTCTATCTATCTATCTACCTACCTACCTACCATCTATCTATCTACGTACCTACCCAGCAATCATCTTACTGGTTTGGTTCCTCTGGGGAACCCTGACAGATATACTAGGTATGTGACTTCATGCACACTACTTGATCATTTGGGGCTTTAGTTTCTTTGTTGGTTAAGTGGTTTTTAGTAGAATTTATCTCATATAATTGATTTTAGAATGAAATTAGATCATGCCCACTACACACTCAGCACAGTGCTTGGCACATAAAAGCAGTCTGAGCTATTAGGAATAAATCTACTATGATAATTTGCATTAAAAATAACTACTAAATAAAAGAGTTTGAAAAGTTAGCATATTTTGTCATATCTAAGGTATCACTCCTTCATTAAGTGCACTGTTTATTTTATGAATCACTGGGTCAGAAAAAAAAATGCTGCTACTTAATTGCACAAACACATCGACTGTAAGAGGCATTCTGATTTCCAAAGATGCTAATATAAACAAGCAATTCAGAATGCAGTGTATCTCATTCTCACTGACCGCACTGCACAGCCTCTGCCCTCCACTGAATCATCTGTAAAATCGTATTAATGCAAGTTTGGTTGGAGTGGTATGAGAGGGTTCATGAGGATGGTTTGTAGATGTCAGTCCTTAGTTATCACTCTGTCTATAACCATAGTCCTTCATGCAAAGGGTAAGAGGGAACAGGATCGACACTCTCCAAGGCCTTCTTGGTGGGACTGATATAATCCCACATCACAGATGGGGAAAAGAGGCTCACAGAGGTTAAGTAACTTGCTCCAGATCATATATTCCTAAATGTTGAGCTGTTATTTGAACCTAAACCCATCAGAGTTCAAATCAGTCTTTAAGCAGTTGACTTGGTGACTTTGCCTCCTTGTCCTGCCTGAGACACGTGTCTATAAACCAAGCCCTCTGAGCCTTCCCTTCCCACCCCCAGACTGCTCCTCTGGCAAGGCCCGTTTGGTCTCGTCCCCATGTTGGAAGACCCCAGGCTCAGCACAGCTGGTTCTGCCACTTAGACCCTGCATGATTCCAGGCAAGCCCTGGTCCTCCATCCAGTGGACCCAGCCATGGTCCTTGGCATTTCAGATCTCTGTAAAGATTTAATCATAACAAAGAGGAGCTAGATATGGTGTGAGATTTGGGGTGAGTCACAGACTCACAGAGGCCGTAGCGTCCTCCTTCGTGGTCCCCGGCCGCACTGCAGTGAAGGAGTTGGTTCTCCGGCAGGTTAAGATGCCATGCAGCTGCCAGGAACCACTGCTAGTTGGGAACTCTGGGAACCCCAGTGTTGGTAATGGCTCTGGATCATTCAATCAATTATGAGCCCCTTACTGCAGTGCTGGGAAAGAAAGACCTTATGTGAACAGTGACCCTGTCCTCCTGGTGCCGCCTTTTGCCTGATGGAGACACCTAGACCCAGGCAGAGAGATTCTCCTAGAATGTAGAACACAGCCTCCTTCAACCTCCTTGAAAGACCTTCAGTATTCATCTGTGGCCAGTGCCTAGGTCAGTCATAAAGATGATCACAATCGAAGCCATAATAATGATAGTCATTAAACATCAGTTAGAACTGGACATGGAACAACAGACTGGTTCCAAATCAGGAAAGGAGTATGTTAACACTGTACATTATCACCCTGCTTATTTAACTTATATGTAGAGTACATTATGTGAAATGCCAGGCTGGATGAAGCACAAGCTGGAATCAAGATTGCAGGAAGAAATATCAATAACTTCAGATATGCAGATGACACCACCCTTATGGCAGAAAGTGAGGAGGAACTGAAGAGCCTCTTGATGAAAGTGAAGAGGAGAGTGAAAAAGTTGGCTTAAAACGCAAAATTCAAAAAGCTAAGATCATGGCATCTGGTCCCATCACTTCATGGCAAATAGGTGGAGAGACAATGGAAACAGTGACAGACTTTATTTTCTTGGGCTCCCAAATCACTTCAGATGGTGAGTGCAGCCATGAAATTAAAAGACGCTTGCTCCTCGGAAGAAAAGCTATGACCAACCTAGACATCATATTAAAAAGCAGAGACATTACTTTGCCGACATAGGTCTGTCTAGTCAAAGCTATGGTTTTTCCAGTAGTCATGTATGGATGTGAGAGTTGGACTATAAAGAAAGCTGAGCACCAAAGAATTGACGCTTTTGAATTGTGGAGTTGGAGAAGACTCTTGAGAGTCCCTTGGACTGCAAGGAGATCAAACCACTCGATTCTAAAGGAAATCAGTCCTGAATGTTCATTGGAAGGACTGATGCTGAAGGTGAAACTCCAATACTTTGGCCACCTGATCGAAGAACTGACTCACTGGAAAAGACCCTGATGCTGGGCAAGATTGAAGGCAGGAGGAGAAAGAGACGACAGAGGATGAGATGGTTGGATGGCATCACCGATTCGATGGACAGGAGTTTGTGTAAGCTCTGGGAGCTGGTGATGGACAGGGAGGCCTGGTATGCCACAGTCTATGGGGTCGTAAAGAGTCGGACATGACTGAGCGACTGCACTGAATGACGGACTCTGCTTAATAATGCAAACACACTGACCTGAAAGTTTTCTTCCCACTCAAGACCTGCGAGGCAGGTTCTCACACTGCTCCCACTTTAGTTTTTATTTATTTTTAATTTTAAAAAATTAAGGCTATGCTGAGTGGCATGTGGGATCTTAGTTCCCTGACCAGGGATCAAACCCACATCCCCTGCTGTAGAAGCATGAAATTTTAACCACTGGACCAGCAGGGAAGTCCTGGTCCAACTTTACAGGTGAGCAAAGTGAGATGCTGTGAGGAAGGTAACTCTTCACAAAGCTGTTCAGTAACTCCTTGGCAATACTGGCATTTAAATGCAGCTGTGCCTAGGTTTCTGATCACAAGACAACTTCTGTTTTTTTTTCCTTCTTTTTTGACCATTAGTCTATTTTTTTAAAGTTCACTCATTTTTAAATTTCAGATGGAGCATGCATCCTAACTATTTTATTTGATGGTTTACAACCCACTACTATCACTATTTATTTCATTGATCACCTATCCCAGATTTGGCCAGTGGGAGCTCTTTCCATTGGACTCCTATGTCCTTTTGACATCTTTTCATCTTTCTTTGAGGACTTTCTTACTTTTGGGTACAATGAAATATTCCAGATTCATATATTTCCTGCCCAGACCCTGGGATCAACCATTTCTCTATGGAGCCTTGGCTCCTTTCAGGAGATAAGAGTATTTAGAAGCCAAGATCTGTGCATATGTGTGCTTGTTGCTTCTAGGGCAGCACTACTTCCAGACCCTATCAGCCCATTTCCAAAAACTTCATGGAAAAGGAGAGACCACAGTTCTTGCTTGTGTTGACAACTCTCAATGCAGTGTTATTTTAATTTTACCATCAGAAAAAAAAAAAACTCTCAAAGGAGCCATGGAATCCCAAGACCCTCTTCATTTTTTTGATACTTATTTCTTCGTGTTCAAGACTCACCAGAGGGTGTGAGCAAATAAATGCTGGTCATTTTCTGCTTTGAACTGCTCGTGAGACTGTGGACATTCTAGAAGTTAGTAGGAAGGGATTCCTAAAGAATGAATGGACTTGATGTGAGCCAGAGAATACTGTATCTGGGATGTCTTGCTGCCAGTTCCTTCCCTTGCTCCCTTCCTCTCCCTCTTATGGGTCCTCAATTTTCTGAATAGTCTCTGGGACAAAGACAGACAAAATCTTCACCCTGAAGTAGCTGACATTCCAGCTGGGGGACAGACTATCCAGAGTAATTAATTATTTGTAAACAGATATTACCAGTGGAGATGCGTGCTAGGAGGGGGACAGGATGAGGGGCTCCAGGACGCAGTAACAATGTGGGAGGTGGTGGTGCAGGTGAAGAGGCAGCTTAAACTAGAAAATGGTCTAAGAAAGCCTCTCTGAGGCAGAGACCTGGAGGATGAGAGGGAGCCACAGCCAAAGTAAGGTAAGAGAACCGCAGGCAGGCGGAAGGGCACGCGAGGATGCCCAGAGGCAGGGGAAAGCTTCGAGGATTCCAGCAGCTGATGGGAGCTGGGGAGGCGGGCGTGGTGAGTGAGGGGGGGCGGGCGGCACAGGAGGACGGTGGATCACACAGGTGGTCACCCCCGCGGTTTGGATTTGGACAGTGCAGAAATCCCCGGAATAGGGAGGCACATCTGGTAATTGAAAAGATGAAAAAAGTAATAATAAAGTGCTCATTCGCAGGCAGCCACGAGGAAGATAATGGATGATGGCCAGGCAGACCATATGCACTTGGCTAACAGAATTAATCATGTTCGGCAAGGCACAAAATAAGAACGACAAGCACAATAAAACATTTAAGGACGAGAGTGGATTTTAATTTTCAGAGTAGTCTAAAACAATATGATAATGATGATAGCCAAGTTGGCCCCGTGAATGTAAAATCCAAATAGGACACAAATTAAAGTCATAAATAATATTTAATTTGCTATCCCCAAGCATCCTCAAAAGTCATATTGATGAAAAAAGTTATTAGAATGAATCAAATGAAGACTCTCATATGTCTGGAATATTTAGTGGACTGCAGCATGCTAGTAGGAAAAAAAAAAATCCATAGCACAATGTATGAGTTGGATATTAGATGAGAACATTATGATTTTCAAGTTGTATTTATCGAGCCAACCGCTGACTGTATTTCCAGGGCCATTTAGCTAGATTAGAACAAATAAGAGAAGACTGATTTTTAAGAACTTGTGATTAATGACACGCAGTTCCTTTAAAGTAGCTTTGTAAATACTCTATCCCGAAGATATTCTGTGCTCTCGTCTGTTACTGAGCCTCGAGCAATGGGGCTTGAGGGACCTTGTTTTACCGTCACCAACGGTTTCTTTCGAGCTTTGTAGCTGTAAGAACTTGGATCTTCAATTCAGGGAGTGTACCTTGTACGTCGTAGGCACAAAATCAGGAGAAGCAAGAAGTGCCCAAAGAGAGAGATGGACTGTGAAAGAACAGCTATTAATTTGCAAAGTATTAAGTATGATTATGGGAGATGTGAAGAAGAATGGCTAAATGCAGAAAGTCGAAGCGAGAACAGGCAAGCCAAAAAGAGAGGGTAATTACCCACCTGAATGAAAAACACAACAAAAAAATATGTCAGTGGCGGGGAGGGGCTGTCAGTCTGGATCAACGTGTCCACCTGCCAAGTGAGGCTGATCGCGACTTTACAAAAGAAGCAGAAACCAGAAACGAGCCCGAGGGTTTTCCTGAGAACGTATTGTGTTCTATTTCTATGAATGGAACAATGGTGTTCTGTAAATAATGCTGGGACTTGATTGTTCCAGAGAGGGTTGTGAAATGAACGTCCCTCAACCCCAAGCTAAAAGGAAGCCAAATGTTTTGTGTAAACCTAAAATACCCATTTGGTGTTGCCAACCCTGAGAGATAGTATGACTGACTTTGCAGTGTCAATAGGTCAAGAATTCATCAACGGTGGACCTTGTTGTTTATCTGTTTTATATATAGCAATGTATATCTGTTAACCCCACACTCCTAATTTATGCCCCCTCCTTTCCCCTTTGAACCGTAAATTTGTTTTTTATGTCTGTGAGTCTGTTTCTGTTTTGTGAACAAGTTCATTTGTATCATCTTTTTTAGATTCCTGTTATAAGTATCTGTCTTTGTGTATATATATATATATTTGTATATATTCCACTTATAAGTATATATCTTTGTATATATTCCACTTATAAGTATGATATCTGTCTTTGTCTGACTTTTAACTTAGTACAATAATCTCGAGGTTCATCTATGTAGCTAGCGGCAAATGGTGTTACTGAGCTATATGATGAACAGGGAGGCCTGGCGTGCTGCGATTCATGGGGTCGCAAAGAGTCAGACACAACTGAGCGACTGAACTGAACTGAACTATATATTGTAATAACTTATAGTGGAAAAGAGCCTGGAAAAGTGTATATACACACTTTGCTGTATACTAGAAACTAACACAACTTTGTAAATCAGCTACTGTTGTTGTTCTGCGGCTAAGTCATGTCCGACTCTCTGAGACTCCATGGACGGCAGCACGCCAGGCTCCCCCGTCCTTCACTATCTGCCAGAGTTTGCTCAGACTCAGATCTATTGAGTCGGTCGGTGATGCTAACCCTCAACCAACCATGGTGAGAGGCACCCACCCCATCTCCAAAGAGAGTGCTTAAGGGATGCGACCATGGTTGTTTTGCTTCCTGGATGGTCACAACCTTCTCAGAGGTCATGCTTTCCCACCAGACCCTCCTCAAGGGCACCAGCCCTTCCCCTTGCTTCACTGTTCACTTGAAAATGGATTGTGGATGTGTATCGCTGAATCACTTTCTCTACACCTGAAACTAACACAACTCTGTAAATCAGCAATGTGCCAATAAAATAAAAATATGAAAAAAAGAAAAAAGGATGCTGGTCTGGCTTTCTCCACTGACACTCCAGATGAGTCCATCTCATGCTCACCTCCATCCTCGCTGGAGACCCATCAGTCATCAGCACTGCTGAATCTCCTGCCATCCATGTACTAGGTTGCCTAGCTCCTCTCACTGTGTCCCAAACTGTGCTTTTATTCTGCCAAACTAATAATAGGGTGAGAACAGAAGAATTTAATTTTTTGAAATACATTAAAAAAAAATCCTTTTTTTCTTTTTGGAGTTTAGGGTTAATAGATGCAAACTATTACAAAAAGAATGGATAAACAACAAGGATCTCTTGTATAGCACAGGGAAATATATTCATTATTCTGAGATAAACCATAACAAAAAAGAATGTATATATATATAAATATACAAATCACTTTGCTGTACAGAAGAAATTAACACAACATTGTAAATCCACTATACTTCAATTTAGAAAAACACTGCAAACTAGAAGCCTCCAAGGTATTTTTTCAGTAGGTGAATGGCTAAACAAACTGATTCATTGTACAATGGAACACTATAGTGATAAAAAGAAAAGACCTATTGGGCCACAAAGACACAGAGAACTTTAAATTCATATTGCTAAGTGAAAGAAGCTAGACTGAAAAAGGCTATATACTGTAGGATTCCGACTGTATGACATTCTGGAAAAGGCAAAAATATGGAGACAGTAAAAAGATCAGTGGTCGCCAGAGTTGAGGGAAGGGTGGTATGAGTCGACGGAGCACAGAGATTTTCAGGAGAGCAAATCTATTTTGCGGTGGTTCAGACGGTAGAGAATCTGCCTGCAATGCAGGAGACCCAGGTTCGATCCCTGAGTTGGGACGATGCCCTGGTGAAGCAAATGGCAACCCACTCCAGTATTCTGGCCTGGAGAATCCCACAGATGGAGGAGTCTGGTGGGCTCCAGTCCATGGAGCTGCAAAGAGCTGGACACAACTGAGAGACACAACACACAAACCTTTTCGGTAGGAAGTTATATTGGTGGATACACATTGTTACACATTTGTGCCGAACCCATAGAAGGTACAACATCAAGCATGAAGCCAAATGTAACCTATGAATTTTAGCTAAAATAATGTATCAATATTGGTTCAACAATTCTAACAAGGACAGTTGTAACACTGAAGCAAAATGCTAATCAAAGGGGAATCTAAGTGGGATTCATGGGAACCCTCTGTACTTTACACCCAATTTTTACTCTAGAAAATAAGATCTATCAATTCAATGTTTAAAACAAAAAAAGAGATTCCCTTGGAAGAACACAAATCTCATGAAATGAGACATAGAGGGCCCTCTTTTGGGATTCTGGGTTGGAATTCTTGAGCTGAAGGAAGGGATTCAGTGGAAGATGGGACCACATTCTTAATACATTTGTGGCCAGAGTCCCGAGCTCTGCGGCTGGTCCCAGCCCTGGACAGAGTCCTCTGCAGAGTTTAGAGCAGTGTGGTCGGTGGAGACATGGATTGAGCCACATATGGAACTGTAAATTCTTGCGCATGCATGCATGCATGCTACGTACGTTCAGTACTGTCTGACTCTTTGCAACCCCATGGACTGTAGCCAGGCTCCTCCGTCCATGGGATTCTCCAGGCAAGAATCCTGGAGTGGGTTGCTGTACCCTCTTCTAGGGGAATCTTCCTGACCCAGGGATCAAACCTGTGTCTCCTGCATTGGCAGGGGTGTTCTTTACCAATAGTGCCACCTTGTAGCCATCTGTAGTAGCCACATAAAAAAAAGAGGAATAAATCAGCAATATATTTTATTTAATCCAGTTATCCAAAATATCATCATTTCAATATATGGAATTGGTATAAAAATTATTAATGAGATGCTTTACTTTTTTTTTTTTTTGCATTAAGTCTTCGTCTTCGAAATCTGATGAGTATTTAACACTCATATCTTGGTTTGAATTGGCCGTATTTCAAGTGTTCAAGCCTCCTGGAGTCTGTGGGCTACTGTACGGCACAGCACAGCTCAGAGGGCCCCAGAACAGAACCCAACTTGGGTTCTGGGCACCAAGAGAGACTTCTCTCCACCAGCTCCTTCTTTTCTTTGTTCCTTCACATGGTGAGGGCGTGTCAGTTAAAAATTAATTTTGAGAGTTGCTCCCATCTCACAAACTCCTTGGGGACAAGTGTCTGCGTCCAAGGCCCTGTCTGCAAAATTCCTGCAGCTTCATTCTGCCCAAGTCGGGGGAGTTCTTCTCCTTCCCCATCTTCCTTTGCTTATCTGGGAGGGAATTAAATGCAAGGGAGACTGGAGGTGCACACAGCTCTGGCCCATCTCTGCCTTACACAAGCCTCGTGGGAGGAAAATTCTCCGAGTGGTCCCCTCCAGAATGAGATGGAACCCCTCAGCTTGCTGCCGGGTCTAAGAGAAGGAGAGAATGTGTTACTTAGTATCTTGGTGGCTCTCTCTCCCTTCCAGGGCCCCACCAGGCATCAGTAATCTATTTCCACTCTCTTTCAGATGTACCTTCTCAGTGAGTCTTTCTGGGGTGTTCCACATCCTACTCTAGGCAGACGATCCCAGTGAGCTGGAGCCAGCCCAATTTGCTCTCCCGGCTCTAAGAGATGGCTTAGCTGATGTTTCCAGCATCACTCATTATTGTTCCCTTCTCCCCATGGGCTTCACATTCCAGCGATTTCAAATGTCTCTTCCCTCTCCTGAACGCCCAGGGGTGCTGTATGCAGTTGAGCAAGCTGCTCACTGCGTAAGGGCTCCCAGCCAAGGGGCAAGTAGAGCAGTGGGCAACCAGCCCAGTGCCCACTCGCCAAGCTGGACCCCTTAGACTGAGGAGGCACGCACATGGGTTAAGGGTGCCTTTGTCTGGTTTGCACAAAGGCATTCCATGTGTTCACTGTAGCAAGCATCCTGTTTCTGGGCATTTACACGGGCAGTTCATTCTGCCTGGGTTGCCCTTTCTCTGTTGTTGTGTCCCCTCTGAGGTCCTGCTCTAATTCCTTAAACTCATCCAAGTCTTCTGGTACCGACTCTTAACTTTGTGGGGCTCGGCTCAGTCATTCTTATAGCAGAACTAAGGGCAGTTGCTGTCCGTGTGGAATGGTGAACTTGAACCTGAAAGCTGGGTCTCACACCGCCCGCCCCCTTTGCCGGCGCCCAGCCTGGGGCCTGGCCAAAGTACACCAACTGGACCCGACAAGGCATCTCCTGAATTTGTGAGACAGAACGGGCCCCAGCAGCTGATCAGTCTACCAGGGACAGTGTTGCCGGCAGTCCTGGGAGCTGTCATTGCCACGTTGGTTCGTGGGTGGGGCTGCGGGAGGGCATGACCCACAGAGAGGATGAGACCCCGCTCTGATTGTGAGGCTGGCTGGGAAGATGGGCTGTGCATGCCAGACTCCTGCTCACCACCGTCTCTGCTGGCCCACCTACCTCTCAGCACATGAAGTTTCAGTTTTTCCCTCATCTGGCTGGGTAGGGAGGGGTGGGCTGGAGTCACTGACATGATATTGACAAGGCAGTAGCCTGGAGCACTGAGGGCCACTCCCTTTGTGCCCAGCACAGTCTGAGCACTTTCCGAGACCACCTGGGATGTGCATGCAGCTCTGTATCAGATGCTCTTGGACATCTCAAAGGAGGTGTTCTCATACTGACCTCCCGCCCTCCCACCGTAGTAAGCGAAGGTCCAAGGTTCTCACGGCCGGCCAGCTCTAGAGCCAGGTGTCATCCGGGAGGCCTGGCTTCAGTACCTGCCCTCTGGCTCCAAGACCCTTTCAAGGCCCCTCTCATTGGGCAGTAGGTATGGGACGCTTTCCACCCTCAAAGACCCAAAGCCAAAGCCCTGGGGAAGGTGCTATAGCCCTGGAGGCAGCCGGTCTGGGTGGAATCCCAGCTCTGCCACTCACCTGCTGAAAGCCTTAGGTGAGCTGCTTAAGCTCTCTGCCTCAGTCTTCTCACGGTGCTACAACCTACTGCCCTGGTCTTCACGGGGACTGAATGAAACCAAGCATGTGGATACCCAAGACGTGCTAATGTCTCAGGCCAAGAGGATGGGGCTGGGCTTTTGCAACAGCCCTGCTGTTGCAGAAATCACTTACCCTCTCTGAGCCTCAGTTTTCTCATCTGCAAAATGGGCATCAGACAATACCTGAATTCGCTCCTGATATTGTTCCATAGGGGCTTCCCAGGTGGTGCTAGTGGTAAAGAACCTGCTGGCCAATGCAGGAGACAGGAGAGACATGGGTTCGACCCCTGGGTCGGGAAGCTCCCCTGGAGGAGGGCACGGCAGCCCGCTCCAGTATTCTTGCCTGGAGAATCCTATGGACAGAAGAGCCTGGGTGGGCTGCAGTCCATGGGGTCTCAAAGAGTTGGACACGACAGAAGTGACTGGAGCATGCATCATTCCACGTACAGGTGGAATTCTAGCAATGAAGCAGCCCTGTGCTGGGTGTTGGGGATTTGGCCTTGAATTAGGGCCTGCCTACCCTTTGGAGGCTTGGCATCAAGATCAGGGGACCTTAAACCTGATACCTGTGCACCCAGATGCTGCCCACATGGCTTTGGGGTTGGTTATAAACCACGGAGACCTGTGAGTACGTCCCTTTTCCTGAGTAGAGGGTCTGGGACTTTCATTGAATTTTCAGGCAGACCCTCATCTAAAAACCCAGGGAGTCCTGAGCTGAAGAGGGGATCTGGGTGAGTCGCAGTGAGCCCTGTGCTTTGGGGGAGCCTGACCTTGTGGGCCAGCCAGCCCTCTGTCACTTGCTTGGACACAGAGCAGGGGTCATGGACCAACACATGCAGGGGTCCATCCTCGGGGCCCGTGACCCCAGGCCAGAATACGGGGAGGCTGATGTGGGGGCTTGTGCAGGCTGAGTGCAGTTTGCCCCAGATAACACCCTGCGCTGCCTGCCCACAGAAAGAGCTCGGGGGAAAACACATTCTCAAATAAATAATAAATACAGGCAGGAAAAATAATAGAGAAAGCGCTTACCTGGTTCAGGACTTTTGACAGGCCTGCTCTGCCGGCTCTGGGCGCGCTCTGTCTCTCCCAATTACTGCCTCTGCCTCCACGTGTTGCCATAGAAGCGCTAAGTCAACTCAGCGGCTGCAACTGTTGCTGGGGAGTTCTTAGCATCCATCTCTCGGCTCCTTGCAGCTGCCCCTGGACAAACAGCTGTGGGGACGGTCCTTCCTGGAGACCTCCAACCCCAGCCTTCCCCATAACCACCCCAACCCTGGTCACGGGACTTCCCTGGTGGTCCAGTTGTTAAGACGTCACACATCCAACGCAAGCGGTGTGGGTTCGATTCCTGGTCGGGAAACTAAGATCCCACATGTGTGCAGTGCAGCCAAAAAATTGGGGAAAAAAAAAATCGTGGGCTCCCCTGGTGGCTCAGATGGTAAAGAATCTGCCTGCAATGCAGGAGACCCAGGTTCTATCCCTGGGTTGGGAAGATCCCCTGGAGAAGAAAATGGCAACCCACTCCAGTATTCTTGCCTGGAGAATTCCATGGACAGAGGAACCTGGCAGGCTATAGTCCATGGGGTCTCAAAGAGTTGGACACAACTGAGCAAATAACACACATACACACCCTGATCACAGGGCTGGGAGAGGGGTGGAATGGGGCTTCGGTACCAGCCCTCCAGGTTCAAATCCTTGCCCTGCATCCTCTGTTAGATCGGCAGGCCCTTCAAGCTCGCTAAGCCTCCATTTCCTCCTCTGCACAGTGGGAAGAGTGATGCAGCTGACTCTGGGCAGTGTTGAGGAAATTCCCTCAACGATCCCCTCATAAGCCCCCGGTTAGAATTCATCTCAAGGAAGGGGAGAGACCATGAGAGAAGCTGCTCTGAGTTCTGCATCAAAATACTGATGTCAGAGGCACAGTTTCTGAGTTGCAAAGGTTTTCCTTTTTGTGTGAAGTCTAAGCCTGTCCTGGAGAGGGTGCTGGGCTCCCAAGAGGTTTGCATGGAAACTGGAGGGAAGTAGAGAGAGAGGCAGTGAGTGTGAGAGGAGAGAGAGAGAGGTATAAAGGAAGAGAGAAAGGCTAGCACCGTTGAGCATAAAAATGACAGATGCCCTGGTGTAAAGGGTGACAATTTGCCTACCCAGTGAAATGGTCCTGTCAAGTCGTCAGGGTACTTGGGGACTTGAATTCAGAGAGGAGGTATTAGAAATTGCAGGCAGCCCGGAGCGCCTCAGTGGCTTCCGAGCTCCAGAAGTGATGTTTTGTAATTTTGCCTTATGATCTGTGAGGGTTTATCATGGCGCTAATCGGCCTAATGATGACGGGAACTCAGTCATTCCCACTTAGACGCCAGGTTTTAAGTAATAATAGGCGCTCAGCAGGCCCCTCGGCGGTGCGCTGGGAGGACCCAGGGCGATGGGCCCTCTGTGAGCTTCTGGTAAATGAGCTGGGCTCCTGCCGGGGTCCCGCAGCTCTTCGGGGCTGCAGACAGCCCCCCCCTCGCCACGGCCCCTTGCCGCTGCCTCTGCCTGCTGGTCCCCAACCCGCAGACAGGACCACCTTTCCGGGTCCACCCATCCTCGGGCCGCTGCCCACTCTCTCCCCGGGAGCTGCCACCCTTCATGGGAAAATTTACAACCCGTGTTTATGAGCGTGCGCTTGTTCCCATGGACACCCGCGAACGGCACAACCAAGATTAATGGAGAACCGCCGAGACCGGTCCTAAAAGATGGGCCCTCTAGTGGATTCCGGTCTGCCGCGCGCCATCCATTAGCGCCCCGCGCGCAGGGCCCTCATCACGCCGGCATCATCGAGACCCGCGCAAGATGGCATTTCCACCGCACATCAACAGATCATTTCACCACTGCTCAAGGCGTCGTAAATTGGACTTATAGCTCAGCTGCTGGCATAAATAAGTCCCTTTGATAGTTAGTGGAAGACGTTATGACACCCCAGGGTACAGGAGGGGACATTGGCACTGTCATTTTTTTTCTCCAGCCCTGGCACCCTGGTGCCTGTGATCTTTCTGAAGATTCAGGGCACGCGCTCTTCATTACGGCTTGGGCACCAGGGACTTGTTTTTTTTGCAAGATTAATGAGCGCCACGGAAATTCTCCAGCGCATCTCGATAATTAAGTCTTTGTTTATCAAAAAACAAGTTATATTAGGAGCAGAAAATTCGCAGTAATTATTCATAATTCTAACAATTCAAGTATAGCTACCTCATTTGCCTGGGTAATTCTGCTTTTTAATTTCTTGCATACATTTGCATATTAATTTTGCCCGCCGGCTGCAGCAGGCTTGACAGTTTGCTACTATGTGATGGTTTTCACAGGGGTGCGACTCAGTTGGGTGGCATTTCGACTGGGTGCAATGATAAATTATGAATTTTCTAATTTGCTGCATAATGAAGTAACCCCTTCCAACCCAATTAAAAAGAATCACCAGGATCCATACTTTTTTTTTTGGTAAGTATATATTTTCCAGGTATTTTTGTCTCCTTTTTTTAGCTGTTTACAAACAAGGTATATGTATTTTCTTTCCTCTTTGAAAGAAAATTAAAAAACCATCAATGGTTGCATTTGCAGCCTTTCTGGGTGATGGTGACTTTCTATGCATCAGAGGTGACCCCGAGCAGGGCTTCTCCAAAGGGTATTCAGGCTTGTGGTTGGGCATTCCTCAGCCTGCCTGGCCAGCACAGGCATCTAGTCCGATGGATGAGTTTCTGTTGCATTTGGGTGGCAGTTATGTGCACCCTGCTTGCTGAAATGTGGTGGGCTGGCATCCACGGTCAAGTTAGAGAGACACACAGGTTCCGAGGATGGACAGCCGTGACTGGTGAGGGCGCTGTTGCATGTCCACACCAGGTCTGCTGAGCTGAGCAGAGAGCCAGGCTGCAGGCAAGTGACTTCCTGCCTTTCCAGATGGTTCTGGTGTAACTCAGATAATATCTTCTAATGATGTAAAAAAAAATTTCTTTGTTCAATCTTGTTGCAATTTTCATTCAAAACCAGTCCTGCAAATGGCCAGATTTTTGCCCAGCTTAGCTTTGCAGGGAGCATGCCTTAGTGTGGGGCTGTGTGGCTGGAACAGGGTCAGGGGTGACCTGTGTACAGCCTTCCGGCTGGCAGGAATGTCCTCCTCACAGAGCAGATGCCGGCGGAGCTGCTCCTGTAAGTTCAGGCCCAGGACTCACCATCAAGCACATTATCAGATGCAGATCTGATCTTGGGGAAGTGAACCACCCCAAAATGGAGGATGCAAATTCACTAAGTTCCATACCAGGCACAGACGCTTGGAGCTTTTGGAGTAGCAGGAAACACCAAGACCAGCTTGTACGGCTTCTGTTGAGTCCCTTTGTGCTATATCCCCATGGAGAAATGTCCAGACTTCTTTTGTGTACCTCCAGTGATGGGGGACTCACTGCTGTCCTGTGATCCTCTCTGATCCTGTCTTGAGATAGTTCTGCTTGTTAGAAATCTCTTTCAAATATGCTTCCTTTAACTTTTCCCCACTGGCCCTGTTTTCCTCCCAAGGGGCCACATAGCGCACCCCAAACTTTTCCTTCTCATCTGATGTTATGCTCCATCTCTTGCATTTCAGAGGTTTACATACTTTTCTTTTTAGCCAGACCAAGCTGTCCTTGAGGTCACACACTGGCTTATACTTCTGAATGACCTCAGGCTGTGTGGAGGGCTGATGCCACAGTAGGGGCTAAAACTGGCTGGTTATTATTTAAGCACTTATATACATTCATTGCAAAAGTGAATCCAGAGAATTCAATAGGACAGTGGGAATAGGTAGTGTTAGGACACAGCCTCGCAGAATGGAGCCAGGGTTAGCCAGGAACGGGGCAGCCCCAATCTTAAAGGTTCCAGAAGGACAAGGTCGTTGGAGACCTCTTTTATGCTGTCCTCTCTTGTTTTCTGGAGGTTTGCAGTGTTCATCTTTTTAGCCAGACTATGAACTCATGGGACTTCCCTGGTGGCTCAGCATTAAAATAAGCTTCCGGCAATGAAAGAGACTTGAGTTCAATCCCTGGGTTGGGAAGATGCCCTGGAGAAGGAAATGGCAACCCACTCCAGTATTCTTGCCTGGGAAATCCCATGGACGGAGGAGCCTGGTGGGCTACAGTCACTGGGGTTGTAAAGAGTGGGACATGACTGAGGCAACCAAACGACCACCACCACCATGAACACATTAAGGTCTAAGTTGTTTAGTCACTAAGTCAAATCTGACTCTTTGCCACCCTGTGGACTGTAGTCCACCAGCTTTCTCTGTCCATGGGATTCTCTAGGCAAGAATACTAGAGTGGGTTGACATTTCCTTCTCCACATTAAGGTCTAAACCACATCCTTAATATTGGATTGGCCAAAAATTTCATTCAGGTTTAAAAACCCGAATGAACTTTTGGGCCTGTTTTAATACATTATTATTGTTGTTTAGTCACTCAGTCGTGTCTGACTCTTTGCAAGCCCGTGGACTGTAGCCTGCCTGGCTCCTTTGTGCATGGAATTCTCCAGGTAAGAATACTGGAGTGGGTTGCCATTTTCTTCTGCAGGGGATCTTCCCGACCCAGGGATTGAACCTGGGTCTCCTACATCTTCTGCATTGGCAGGGAGATTCTTTACCACTGAGTCACCTGGGAAGCCCAACTTAGTACAATTCAAGCATCAAGCCAGCTACAGGCTACACAGTTTTCATCTATTTTGGTCATTTTTTTCTTATCTATAGGATGGTTACTTAGCGTTTAATAAATATTAACTGAGATTGAACTGTGTGTAGATCCCAGGCCTTCATGGGTGAGAAAGACAGGCCTGGTCCTTGCCCTCAGGGAACTTTCTGGTTTTGCTCAAAATAGAGGTTGAGTGGAGGTGAATTGTTTCCCATCCTGTGTGCCACAGAGCCCTGGGGTTCTGTGGAGGTGTCTCAGGGACAGAATTGTAATGGCCCCATCATGAGTATATTATTAAAAGATAATGGTCAAACAGTTATCAGCATTAACTATATATACTGTTCTGAATACAAATTAACTTACTGATGATGAAGTACTATTAACCCCATATTACAGAGGGTTACCAGACTGAATACAGAATACCCAGTTAAACCCAAGTCTCAGATAAATAATGCTTTCTTAAGTCTAAGTATGACCCAAATATTGAGTGGGGCATACTTAGACTAAAATTTTTTTCCCATTGCTTACCTGAAGTTTAAACAGAACTTAGCATCCTGTATTTTTATTTGCTAAATCTGAGATCTCTAAATTAAGGCCCAGAGAGGGCTGGTCACTAGCCCAAAGTCCCATAGCTAGCGAGTGACTTTGGAATCTGTACTGTTAATTCTCTCTGCTATGGTGCTTCTGTAAATTCACTAGGTGTATCAGTTGAACAAATAAGGTATTAAAAAAATGCCTCACTCAATGTCGAGGCACATAGTAGGCATCCCATAAATGCTAGTTCCCTTTCCTCTTCCTATCTGTCTGACCCTCCTGGGGCTCTGCTTGATTAACTCACTCTCCAGACTGTCATCATCTTTATACCAAGGTTATCACTATTCTCTGGGCTTCCTTCATAGCTCAGTTGGTAAAGAATCCGCCTGCAATGCAAGAGACCCTGGTTCGATTCCTGGCTTGGGGAGATCTGCTGGAGAAGGGATAGGCTACCCACTCCACTATTCTTGGGCTTCCCTGGTGGTTCAGCTGTTAAAGAATCTGCCTTCAATGTGGGAGACCTGGGTTGGGATGATCCCCTGGAGAAGGGAACAGCTACCCACTTCAGTATTCTGGCCTGGAGAATTCCATGGACTATATAGTCCTTGGGGTCACAAAGAGTCAGACATGACTGAGTGACTTTCACTTTTATCACTGTTCTTTGCCATAGTAAGGTGTTATCTGTTCTTTTAATAGTGAATTTTTTTCTTTAATTTTACACTTAAATATTTTTACTTAAAATGGAATTTTTATTATACTATCCTAAATGGAAAATCAGGATGATTCTGTGCCATAAATTAAAGGTAACTGTAAAACATACCATGAGAAGACAAGATTATGTGTTTTTACCTACTGTAGGAGTTAGTCTCTTTGTTACATAGGGAGATTTACAAACACCACAATGGTGTTAAAGTCACACCACTTACCAGAGACTTTCTGCTGGATCTATTAGCAAGGATAAAAGATAATTAGCAAGTGAACTAGTGTCTTTATGCTGTATCTGTAACTGCCTCAGTCATCTCATACTCTAGCCCTAGAAAGATATGTCCCCCACCTCTGATGAAATGCTGAAGTAATGACCAGGACTATGATCTTTTGATAAGCAATCACAAAAGCAGTGTGTTTGGGGCCACCTTCTTGTTCAGAGGTCTGGTGACCCGACAGGTCGGGTTATTGCACTCTGAAGGTGGCCATCACCTTCCGCATCTGAGAATCCAATTGGCAGACCCCACCAGGACCTGGAAGAGTGATGGCATCCAGTGGGTGACCGGGCTTCACCTCTTAGCCAGGGTGGTCCCTTCCAACTCTGACTTTCTACGACCAGGCGATGTTCTCATCCATACAGCCAGCTTGATTGGCAGGCCTGGAGTCACAAGGCTAAGAAAGGCAATTTCGCATCAGCTCCATCTCTCGGTCCAAGTCCCTGGATCCAACAGTAGGTCATGAGTCACCAGTGGCCCTCAAAGTCTCCCTGAGTCCATCTCCAAGCCC